ATTATATCCCTCGTCACCTCTATATCGTTATATCCCTCGTCACCTCTATATCATTATATCCCTCGTCACCTCTATATCGTTATATCCCTCGTCACCTCTATATCATTATATCCCTCGTCACCTCTATATCATTATATCCCTCGTCACCTCTATATCATTATATCCCTCGTCGCCTCTACATCGTTATAACCATCGTCACCTCTATATCGTTATATCCCTCGTCACCTATATATCGTTATATCCCTCGTCACCTCTATATCATTATATCCCTCGTCACCTATATATCGTTATATCCCTCGTCACCTCTATATCATTATATCCCTCGTCACCTCTATATCCATCTCCATCCATATCCTCGATCCAGGATATCGAGGAGCCGAATCTCGCCTCTGGATCGAGCCCGAAGCGATGTTGGCTCTCCATCTCCATCTATAATAATAAAACTTTGGAGTTGAATAATTTGTTGCATGTTGAAGTGCACGAATGAATGTTGTGGGGATTCCGGTAATATTGATCTCATTATTATCTGATACTGGCGAGTGCCTCAACAATAACATGTGAATGATGTAGATTTATGTTCACATGAGTTAATTAGGGTTACATTAATAATTAAAGACGGCAATTGATTTCAGTTGTCCAGACGGTGGCTCTCGTTCAAGTAACTTTTTCTTAACAACAAATATAATGTTAGATATGATGGCCTGTAGCTTGTCATGATCACAGACAGAATGAGAATTTAATACATTTTTAAGTATTTTTATATTTTACATGAAATGTTTATGGTATATTGCATTGTTTATAGATATAAGTTATAATTTGTGAAGCGAAAAAACGGCCCAGTGATTTCACCTTATAACTGTTGCCTGATTTTTTCTGGTAGAAGATAACGATGGCACCAATGTCTTTGTCGTACCAAGGGCATCCGACCACCACGTCCTCTAGGCCGTTAGCATCGAAGTCCCCAACTGCGAGACTATATCCGCAGTACGCGAATAGAAAATTGTTTTCCTGAAAAAAAAATTCATGCTTATTAATTTTATGAATCGTTAAATGATCATAAAAAGTTAACAACAATTATTAACATTTATTTGAAGAATTCATTATTTTCCCGTCCTAACAGGACATTATTCTTCTATGTAAACGTATATTCGCCCACACCTTTAATTTCTTCACTCACCATCAGGATCCCTTACAGTCCTAATTAAAGTCCACTTTTAGTGATGAAAGTAAATATAGAATACAGAGGCGACAGTAATAAGTATCACGTTTGAGGGCTGAAGATTGTAATAGTTGTATCACATTCTTTAGTAACACGTTAGAGAGCTTTGCAAAGTCACAGTTTTGTCACATTCATTAGTAACACGTTAGAGAGCTGTGCAAAGTCACAGTTTTATCACATTCATTAGTAACACGTTAGAGAGCTGTGCAAAGTCACAGTTGTATCACATTCATTAGTAACACGTTAGAGAGCTGTGCAAAGTCACAGTTGTATCACATTCATTAGTAACACGTTAGAGAGCTGCGCAAAATCACAGTTTTATCACATCCAGTAGTAACACGTTAGAGAGCTGCGCAAAATCACAGTTTTATCACATTCAGTAGTAACACGTTAGAGAGCTGTGCAAAGTCACAGTTGTGTCACATTCCTCACGAAGTCTTTACACATCATCAACTGCCAATCCCGGTTAGTTTTCGGCCAGCGAAAAACTCGTGACTACTGTAGTTTTAAAAATTCATTAATTGTTATATAACATTCATTTTCATGGGTTTGAGTAGATAAATGCTGGATCTTAATAACGAAATTATTTATTTACCATTATTTAATCGCGTTTATTATTCAATTACTTGATTTAAATAGTGCAATTTCAAAATAAAAACGTCATCGGGATTCACCTGAGACGTGAAGAGAGATGCCCGTGTGATGAGACCGTCTCCGTTAACTTTTTCGAATAAGTAGGTTGAAGCCGCGGCCATACCCTGAGTACCTTCCTGTATCAATGTTGCATTCAACGTAATTCAAAATGTTATGTTTTATGACACCTCAATTTAAAATTTAAGTATAAAACCTGCATGCATCATAATTTAAGATGTTGTGTATTATAACTCCTCAACTTACAATTTAAGTACAAAATCAGCATTTAACATAATTTAAAATGTTATGTTTTAAGATTCTTCAAATCAAAATATTAATTATAAAATATAAAACATGTTCGTAGAATTGCAGAGAAGTAGGACTGTAACTTTCAGAATAAAAGCAAACAATTGGCAATTTAAGAATGTGGATAAAAATTTATAAACTGTTAAACGTTTCCGAAAATGTCGGAACATGGCCAATAAGAACTGTGTGTGCGAAATTCGTACAACTAACATAAAATAGAATTAATATACATGCTTCCGTAAGAAAAAACACGAAGTATACCTAATAAGAAATATTACGTTTATACCATTAGAAGAAATAGAAAATTAAGCAAAAATTTGAAAGCGGAAAAAACGACAAATAAATTCACTACATTTTTATTGAATTTTTTATCTAAGATAAGTTTATTTGTTCTGCGCTGTTTTTTTCTTTGCATTAGGATTTTACGGTAATTTTTAGATTTATTCACAAATGAAATTGAGTTGAGAAGAATAACCGTTATGAACCTGAATAAATATAACAAATGGCTCCTGTTACGAAAAAAATAAGAAAAATAATATCAAGGTAAACTCTGATCAAGTCAGGACAATAAATAAAACAAAGACTATAACATACGTCACCACCATCACCCACCCGCGCTGTTGGCCCCGCTCACCCCACTCCCTAGCAGGCTCTCCTTAGACCCCTACTGAACCTCGTCACCTACTGAGCCTCGTCACCTACTGAGCCTCGTCACCAATATGTCATGATATAACAAACTCTAAGAAATGTGGATGTGTCAAATTGACCAAATATTGACACACTCGCTACGAGTAACACAAATGCATCCTTTTTCTGGGCGCAACAGGGTCAAATTGGCCTAGATTACGGCAGAAGTGCATCACAATTTTGACAAAGTTTCATTTATTTCTCTAAGTGAAGGATGCCGTACGCATTCGGGTTTTCAGAAGAGGGATCCAGGAGTCCTGCGGTGTAGTCGCTGGATCCTCGCCTCACGTAGGGTCCTTCGAGACTCAGGGATGCTTGGAAAACATCACCTGAGAAGCGGAGTAACGTTTAGGAATAGGAAATATATTTATAATATATTGCAAATTTCTTGGAAAACATCTCCTGGAATGCAGAGCAACCTTTAGAAATAAGAAATATATTTATATTATATTGCACCTTTATTATTTTTATATCTGACACAATTATGTTTATAAATATTTAATATCTTTATTCAAAAAATCCTAAATCGGATTCTCTTATATGATTAACTGAATGCTCTAATATAGCATCATCAGAGCTTAGAAGTAACACGTATGCATAAAATAAATTATTGAATCCTACTGTACGTATAACATACAACATATGCTGAATCATGCTAATGTAATTATAACATATATGGAAAATTTCGGTGATGTATCTTGAATTCTGTGACAACGCTAAGACCAGTACAGTACACTCGAAACACCGTTGTTTACCGGGCACAACAGTATAAGGATGGATCTCACAGAGACAAGAAATGCGTCGCTATTTGGTCACATTCTCTCAATAATTCTGAGTGTATTGTTCCGAATAGACCCAAACTAAAGGAACAAAAACTACTATTACATGATCACCGACGACTGGGTCAGTCGTGTTGTCAACACTAAGAATTAGGTATTAATGTCACTTATTTGCTTAAATCGCAAGTTGACTAAAAATTTAAAAGCAAAGAATAGTCCACAAAAATACATATCTTTATAGAAAACGTAGAAGGGCAACGGACAATAAAAAGGACAATAAAAATATAAGAAATAGGGCAACGGACAATAAAAAGTAAATCAAAAACGGACGCAGCTGTCACATATCCACATACGTTTGTCACTCACCATTGTACTTCACTAAGAATGACGAGCATAATCAATCACTCATTCTACTCACCCATCACACATGACTCATTCCACTCACCCATCGCACATGACTCATTCCACTCACCCATCACACATGACTCATTCCACTCACCCATCGCACATGACACATTCCACTCACCCATCGCTCATGACTCATTCCACTCACCCATCACGCATGACTCATTCCACTCACCCATCGCACATGACTCATTCCATTCACCCATCGCACATGACTCATTCCACTCACCCATCGCACATGACTCATTCCACTCACCCATCGCACATGACTCATTCCACTAACCCAT